AAGTGATCTACAAAAAGAGGTAATGGGGCATTGTTTTGGTCCAGGGACATAGATAGAGGAAGAATAGTCTGAACTGGAGAGAATGGAAGGATAATCCAGGTTTAATAAAATTATTTTTGTGTGACATTTTAATATCTGTAAAGGACCTTTCAGATACACTATTAAATTAGTTCAATTCATCAACTATTGTCTGGATACAAGTTATGTAGTACTTGATATAAATAAGACCACCATATTGACTACTAGGCATATAATTTCAAGTAAATCTCTCAACCAAGCCACAAAGGAAGCATAGTATAAAAAGACCTCACAGTATGTCAGTAGTAGAGCTAGGATTTGAATCCAAGTCTGTCTCACTCCAAAACCAATGTTTCCTCCACTCAGAAAAATCATATTTTAAATAAAGGGGCAAGGATATCCACTGTGGTGGGGAGAGCTCCTAGGATTGGCTGGGCTTTGGGAGTCTGCAGAGTAGAGGTCACAGTCAAAGAAGCTGAAGTTCCTGGAATAGGGAGGCTTCTCCAAGGTTTTGCTGCTGGTTAGTGGTGACATCCTAAACACAGGAAAGGTTTTTTTTATAAAGGAGTCAGAGAGAAACTAGAGGGAAAATGTAGAACAGTGGAATGGCAGAGTAAGCACAGAGAGAACACACAACTTCCGTGGGGAAATACTGGAAGAAACAGAAATAGAGGAAGACTGTGGGGCCAACAGCATTTTTCTCTTTTGCTTTAGAGGGACTATTTCTTTCTTCCACTGACTCTTCTTGAATCAATCTCATATTTTTTGTTATTCAAGATCTAGGTTAGATTAAGTACCAGTCTTTTTAGAAACTACACCTAAGTTTCTGCTAACTTAAAAACTTGCATGTTTTTTTGCATTGATTCTCACACAGTGACTATCATCATTGCTGAGAATCTACTTTGTATTCTGTGTTTATGTTCTAGGGCTCACCTGGCTGTCAAGCTACCAGTCACAGTACACATAGGCCTTTGGATGAACTTGTGGGTCCATGTACATCACAATTCAAATTTATTTGCACACTTTGGTATTTGAATAATTCATTTCTTCACCTCCAAATTTGTCACTATGAAGGAATTTCTTTTACTTATATTTTCCCCATTTTCTTTTTTACTTTTACCTGAGGAAAATGTTTATTGTAAATCAAACATACCTAAAAGTGTCACTCATGGAATTGTTTTCTGTAACGCTCACTTCAGTATTAAAGCAATAAAATTTCACTTCTTTTTTACTCACTAGTCAGAAGTGTACAAACCAAGTCTGTCCCAACTCTAAAAAGGAAATAAATACAATTAATTTACTCTTTCAATTCAAAGGTAATATATTTTCAGATGTTCTTCTTGCTATAGGTAATTTTTTAGATATGGTCTTTGGGGACAACACATACTCTGATAGGCCACTCTTACTTCCTTCTCCACAAGTTTAAATTTCTGACCTTCCTCTATATATACATGCTTTTTGACTCATAAAAACATCTAGTTTTTTTGTTTCTCCAGTCTTACCCCTGCCCTAGCCTTTTTTCTGCTCTTTCCAGTTTGGATCTCAAGCTGGTCTTCACAGTTCTCTCAGTTGTCTGGCACCCACCACATATTCAGTGAAACAATAGTAATGGTGCTTTTATCTATTTTTCTTTTTACTGTTCTCAGATGGTATAAACCAGAGAGAATTATAAAACTATGCAAGCTGGGACTATGGAAAAATTATGTTTCCTAACCTCATCGACCTTTTTAAGCCCTCATCTTTTATCTCCAACTAGCTACTCAATGCCTCATTCCCTCATTTTTAGCAGATGCCCTCGCCCCCTGCTTCATCAGGAAAACTGAGGTTATCAGGCATGAACTCCATCCTCTGCAAACACATATAACCACCCTTCATATTGTCTCCTTTATTTCATCCTGGAATGAGGGGTTTAGTGGCTTACTTCAAGGCTATTATCTCAACCTTTACTGTCAACCCCTTCCTGTCTACTTGTTTCAGGACCATTCTCTAAGCTAGAAGTCTCCACCATTCTGGCGTCTCTAGGCCACACTGGAAGAAGAGTTGTCTTAGGTCACACATTAAATACACAAACACTAATGTAAACAAAAAACATCTCATAATGTTTTAAATAAATTTACAATACTGTGTTGCTCTGCATTCATAGCCATCCTGGGACCACATGTGGCCCACGGCTGCGGGTTGGACACCCCTGCCCTTTCCCCATGGCTTAAATTTCTCTCTCTCCCTACTGACTGCTTCCTTTCTGCTTTACCTTTTCGAATATAATTCAAGTTCCTCTTATCCAAATAAGAGGAGCTTTTCCAAATATCAAAGGAAAATTTTCCTTTATCCTCTATTTACTTCTCAGGTCACTAAAATGTACTTTGTGCTTTCATTCATCTATGGAAAGTGTTAGTGTCAAGGACCCCAATAACCTACTGTTATTGAACCTAATAGATGACTTTCAGGTCCTGTCTTCCTGAATCCCTCTGCCACATTCAATAGTGTCAGTCCTTTTAAAAATTATTTTTCTTCTGGCTTCTAAGACCCATGAACTTTTCAGTGTCTTCTTGTAAACTTCTTAGTCTCTCCAAATAGAGCCCCTCCTCTCTTCATTAACCCTGCTGTGCAGAGGTCACGGTATCTACCCTCATTGATTCTCTTTTACCTTGTGATAAGGATTTCTGCTTCTAAACTTCTGATCCATTTGTCTTTCTAGAGCTTAAGCTTATTTAACTGTCTGCTTTACTTTTGATATATTCCATAGGTACTTCAGACTGAGTATGTTAAGGTGGGACTCATCTCTCCTTTCACTTTAAACCAGGTCTCCCAACTGTATTTACTGATTTAGTTAGTGGAGTCCAAGAAAACTGGAAACATGGTTTCCTTAAATCTTCCTTCTCCTTGCATTAATAACATACACAATATTTGATTTAGCCTTTTCCCTAATAATTGAATTTGTCCACATCTTTGCATCCCCATGTCTACTATCATCCTATTGTCTTATTAAAACTGGTGCACCAACTTATAGAAGTTTGCCTATAAACTGCTTTGCTCTAAATCCTTCCTTCTCACAACTTTTAGATGTATCAATATAAAACATATTCTGACAGTGTCAATCCGATTGTGTCAATACTGTAGAGGTGGATGCACTAACCTAAATATGTGAAAAATTTTAGTTCTAAAAATTTTATAGAACTAAATACACACAAAACACACACTTATTTGTATATGTGTGTGTATGTTTTTCTGTGTATTTAGTTCTATAAAATAAAGTAAGAATTTCTGAATAAGTTCAATGGATTGTTATCAACGTGAATTTCCTAGTTTTGATATTACATGGTAGTTTTGCAAGATGTTACCATTGGGGGAAACTAGATAAAAGGTACTTGTGCTCACTCTGTATTATTTATTATAACTGCATGTGAATCCACAATAATCTCAAAATGAAAAATTTACTGAAAAATACCTTGCAAAAGTATTTTCAATACTCAGAAGTATTGAAGTATTTGAGCTTTTATTTTAATATAGCATACAAGTTTCTACTTCCCTCTTCAACTTTACCTCCCAACATCTTCCACCACAAGTTTTTGCACTGTACTAATATTAAGTTGCATCTAATTTTCTTATATACATCAAATTATTTCCCATTTTAGTGTTTTGTCTATGCTCTTTCCATAGGCTGATCACTCATACTACTAGTCCTTCCTTGGCCTTGCAAATTTCTCATCATTAAAGGTTCTTTCCTTGACCCCTTAGATGAGATATTTCTTATTTGTTTTTTATAATTTTATACACACTATTACTACATTTATTAGAGATTTGTTTTCCTGTCTCACCTTCTACACCATAATCTCCTAGAGAATGAGAGTGTCTCATTCGCTTTTTATTTCCGGTGCCCATTGTACTCTCTGGCAAATAACAGATGCTCTGTGTACATGTTTGACTTTAGTAAATGACAGTGCTTCTCCATACAGTTTTGAAATCAGCAGTAAATTCAGTGCTGTTATCTTCTATTATGTAATAAGACCAGAGCATTCATTTGCAAATTTAAAATGATTGACTATTCTAGTACACTATTTAACTCTTTGTAACAATAGAAGTAATGTTTAACAGCTTAGCTAATTTCACCCTGGAATAAAATTAGTCTACTGATAATGATAATGAGCTACATACTAAGATGATCTGTGCAGATAACATGAAGATTTGGAGAAAGCATCACTCGAGAGAGCTGATATTTTCCTTTCCATATATATGGATCATAGTTAATTTTTTAATGTAAAGGCAAGCTTGAAGATCCAGCAACCAAATAAAGCAAACAGAAATAACATTCATTTGCAACATATTCCGATGTTTGCTTATCCTTTAGTCTAACTAGAATTCCACTCTCCAATTAAAAGCCACCCACACACACATCAAAGTAGGTAACTAGTGATTAAGAAAAAAAAGTCTAGGTTCAGAAACTTAAGTTTATTGTCCTTGGGCATAATGCTAAGATGGTAGTTATGAGAGGGGTGATTACACTGAGGGTGAAACTTAAGTTTCTGAACTTGCTTCTGTTTTCTGATTCTACTTTTTACTTGCTGGAGGCTGAATGAGCAGATAATCAGTTAAGACACTTATAAAATGAGTTTAATAATAGGTCAGACTTGCTGTCAGACCTAATGAGGGAATGTTTATTTTCTTTTTGAAATATGCAGAACATAGATGTTGGACAGCAGAAGTGTAAGGTGTAGCAACATTATTAGTTAAAGAGACAAGCTTTGGTAAAAGACATGATTGCCTGATTTTACTGCAAAATGAGATCTGTGACACTACCTGAAGAAATACAATTTTGCAACTTCTAAAATTTACTACATATATATGTGTGTGTGTGTATATATATACTTGCATGATTTTGAAGATTCACTTAAAATCTTTTTCATCAAATATGATTTAATTTAAATAATTTATATGCATAAATACAGAAACTATAATCCTAGTTTCATTTTTGTCCTTTGAAGGTTTGTAGAAACCCCAGCTCATTTTTCTTGGAAAGAAAGTTATTATCGATCCACCATGTCCCAGAGCACACAGACAAGTGAGTTCCTCAGTCCTGAGGTTTTCCAACATATCTGGGACTTTCTGGAACAGTAAGTATCAAATCAGCAGGAAAAAAAATCTTATATTTTAACTAGTATAATTAGGTAAATATGAATTGACATAATATTGCACTAGTAAGGCATATTTCTAGAATTGATAAAAATCAGTTAATATTATTGGAAAAATTTTATTTCTCCAGAATGAAATTGGAAAAATTTTATTTCTATTTGAACACAGATATCTCTGTGTTCAAAATATAGTAGAGAACCCACTACATTTTGCAATACCATTTTCCAAAACCAAAAGATCATTATTATTCCAAGGTGGTATAGTTTAGGAAGATCAGAAGGTATCTCCTGCCCAACCCAAAATAACTTCCCCAACAATTCTCTGATACTCAAAGTCTGTTCAGCTTAAAGACTCATTTACTCTTACAATGGAAATACACCACTGAGAAAGTAAAAAACTAAATTTTGTTGGTCATTTATGTCTTGCTAAGAGAAGGATTATTATCTTCTTTCTGAAGATCTGGATTGGATAAATGAATAAATTAAATGGAAGATGAAAAAATATCAGAGCACTTGGGACCGTAAGGGAAGAATAATAAAATATTCCATCCCTGATGCCTTTGTTCTTTCCCGTGTTACATCCAGCAATTCTTTGATGGGGGGCAGACTTCATAATTCCTATTTTACAAATAGGGCCTAGGTTTGAACTGCATGTGATTATACATGTGGCAAGTGGTTAAGCCAAGATTCAAATCTAGGGTTTCTGATAGAAACCATTGAGCCTGGCCAACTCAGAGACAGAAAGAGCTAATGTTTACCAACGGGTAAGTGTGTTTTAGTCCCTTTCCAAGCCCTAACATACTTTTTTGTTTGTTTTTCCTTTATGATAGGCCCATATGCTCAGTTCAGCCCATTGACTTGAACTTTGTAGATGAACCATCAGAAAATGGAGCGACAAACAAAATCGAGATTAGCATGGACTGTATCCGCATGCAGGACTCGGACCTGAGTGATCCCATGTGGGTGAGTGGCATGGGTCTCTCCTTTGATATGTGGAGCCATGCTAACCTCTGTTACTCCTGGATTTTTCATAGTGTATGAAAAGGCAGGTGGCTCTTAATGGGGAAGGCCATTGGAAAGTGAGTCAATTTGGTCAGCAGAGAGAAATGTAGGAGCTTGTAGATTTTGCATCTGCCTCAACTCTCCATAATACATGTTTCCACTGATGTGAGGGGTAGGCTTGGAAATTATTTTTTACATCATGTATCTGACTTGCTCTTCATGCCTATTTTGATTTAGAGGGCATGGTACCAGCCCAAGTTTTTACTGGGGAAGACAGAACCAGAATCTAGATCTGAATTCTATCCAAAGCACTTTCTATAATACTATGGCAGACTGCATCTCTCTCATGGAACTATCCTTCTTTAATGAAGGAGCTCTGAGAACACACATTTCATTCCTAATAATAGAATAGGAAGAATGAAGATAACGAATGCATAAATAGGCTTTCTTTGGCTTTACTGCTGAGTCACTTATGACCTTTAGCCTCAGTTTCCCATCTATAAAATGATCAGAACTTACATGCCATATATCCCCTAGACCGCTAAGGAGCACAATGAGTTAATGATAGTAAAACACTTTTATGAGATGTTTAGATAAAATTTCTTGTGTCTGTGCAATCCTTAATGCTGAGGAATTTCTCTCTCTCTCTCTCTTTCTTTAAATTTTTTAAAAAGATTTTACTTACCACACAAGTCCTGCTGTTTTTCTATAAAAATTTAAAACAAAAAGAGACTTCTAGAATTTTTTTTTAAATGAGAAAGAGTGTGGGGTGTCATAGAATATCCACTGCTGTGATAAAAGAGAGAGCTTTATAAAATGCCTATTTTGGAAGGGGGGTGTTAAATGACTTTATTTTACAGAATGGCATAAATGAAAGGAACTAAGTGGATGTTTTGGAATGCCTTGCCTATCCTGTCTAATATAAGATTTTACAGGAATTTTCACAATATATTTTTTGATACGAATTGTACTTTTTATTATTGGGAGAAGCTGAAGTGAGGAAATAGAGGAAACAACCCAAAATAGAAAGTTGTGACTTTGCAAATACATCATGTTTTGTCACTATATTGACCAGAGAAAAATGTTTTTCTTCCTTGGCTCCTTCCATTCTAACAGGAGTATAGTCCTCAGCTTTCCTTGAACTGCTGAAAAGAAACTGACAGATAAATCCAAGGGGTGGGTCATTCAAGGCCTTGGAGTGTATTGTTATGGACTATAAAGGTATATAAATTCTGATTTGGCAGTGACTTAGAAATTACCTCAATCTACTAAATAATATTGCCTCAAATTAATAGGAAACACTTGCCTAAGAAAACCTATCTTTTTTATATTTTTTCCAGAGATTTTCTATTCTTAGTCTTGTACTCATAAGAGCAGGTAGAAGTTATAAAGTTTAAAATTGAGAATCAATCCTTTTCATTTAAAGTTCCTATTGTTATATTTTTCCATACTGAAGTATTTTGCTTAACACACCATGCTATTTCTTGCTTCTTTGTTTTATTAGAGATTTTCTCCTTGAGAACATCCCATTTTTTCCTCCTCTATGACCAATTTTTATTCATCCCACAACACCCAATTATCATACCCTGTCTGAGAAAACTTTCTCTATCACTATCATCCACCAGTCTGAATTAGAGATCATTCCTCTGAAGCAACCTATGTATATTTTTAGACGTATTACTTATTACACCACATTACAGTTCGTTTCTCTGTCTCTAAAGAGTACAGGGAACACAGCACAACCTGACTGGTGCAGTAGAGACTCCAGAAGGCTACCTGGGTGCCCACAGGTAGCAGCGCCAAAAAATAATTAAGCAGTTGGTTGGATGCCCCTGAGAAGAGTAGGGTCTAAACCCTAAGCTGGGATTTCCAGCCTAGAACAGCAGAGCCCCAAAAGTACATAGATAACAACCAGCAGGGAAAAGCGGCCGAGTTGCTCTCAGCCGGAAACAGATGTGTGGAGGCACAAAAAGCCATATAAAAGGCAAACACACAAATTTTCTTTTGCAGCCACTTACCCAGGGCTCCGGAAAAGGTGGAGGCAGAGTGGGTTGGAGATGCCTGAGGAAAAACTGGGACCTGAAGCTCTGGGGAGAGAACTGAGAGAGTAGACTCTGAGATCCCAGTGTGAGAGTCATCCACCAAACTGCAGCAGCCATTGTGCTCAGGCAGACCACTCCCCTGAGTGGCAGCTGCCTCACGGGAAACAATAGCTCCAACCCCAGCAGGAACTCTGCCCCACCCTATGGGGTTTAAGCCTAACTGCAGGGTGATTAGATTAACAAACTGACTGAGTGGGCCACAGAGGTACATCCTTGGAAGTCTCCAATAGGCTGCCCAAGGTCAGATGGAGTCAACATCTGACATCACCAGAAGCGGATCCAAAGAGAAAAAATAGTGGTAAATATTAGAGGCTACCAAGATGAAATCCACTGTGGTATTCTCTATGATTTGTGATATTTTCTTTCCTACATAGATTTTTAACATTAATTTTTTATCCATCACATGGATATTCCACATTGTGCATAGTCTACCTTCTTCATTCCCTTTTTTATTCATAAAGTAAATTTTACTTTCTTTCTTCACATTGTTCTGACTCCCAGCTCTTATTAGTGCTCCTACCTCTACCCTCTCAAAATCATTTTTCTTTCAGTAGGTCATCTCATACTCGCTCTCTTTTCTTATAATAGTCTTAATCTCTTTACACCCTTATTAATACTGGTTCATTTGCTGTTGGTAGTGGGATTGAAGGGAAAGTTAGTTTTGCTGGTGTGGGTTTATTTCCTGGGCTTTGTGACTTTGTTCTGGCAGCACCTGCACAATAGCATATAAGACGTGGTGGGCAGAGTGACCCTCAGTCAACCAGCTGGAGGGAAGGACCCACCAAAGAATGACCCAAAAACAATCAAAACCCAGTTATATCCAGAAAGCCAACATAAATGGCATAAAGGGCATCCCAAGAGCATCAGGCTCAGGAGATCAAGGAAACTGCACCACTGAATCTCACAGGTCTCCTACCATACAAGATCTAACCACAAAGTCAGGGAGTCAAAACAGATCATTTTAAGAAATAAGCAAAGAGTCTCACAAATAATGGGAAGACGAAGAATCCCCAATCAAAAGGAAAAGAGGAATCCTCAGAAAGAATGCTAAATGAAATAGAAGCAAGTAAACTATCAGATATTGAATTCAAACAATGGTAATAAGGACACTCAATGAGCTCAGTAAGAATTATCAAAAACTATAGGGGAGCTATGAGGAACTTACTGCAAACTATATCAGCATGAAAAAGGATATAGAAAAAATCAACAAGAACCAAGAGGAAATGAAGATTCAAAATTTCCTTTAATTGAATAACTGAAGAACACAGTGGAAGGAATCAAAAGCAGGTTAGATGAAGCAGAGGGTTGAATCAGCGAGCTGGAGGACAAGGTAGGAAAAAACTCTAAGAAAGAGCAAGAAAAGGAAAAAAGACTCAAAAAGAATGAAGAGGGGTTAAGGGTACTGCAGGACAGCATGAAACATAATAATATCTGTATAACAGGGATACCAGAAGAAGAAGAGGAGCAAGGTGCAGAAAACATCTTGGAAAAAGTTATGATGGAAAACTTCCCTAATTTCATGAGAGAAAAAGTCACACAACTCCAGCAAGAACTGAGGGTCCCCATCAAAAAGAACCTAAAGAGGCTCACTCCAAGACACATCATGAGTAAAATGGCAAAAATCACAGAAAGAGGATCTTAAAGTCATCAAGGGAGAAAGAGGAAGTAACATACAAGGGAACCTTAATGAAATTAGCAGCTGACTTCTCAACAGAAACTCTACAAGTCAGAAGGGAATGGTAAGAAATATTTTAAGTAATGAAAATTAAAGACCTGCAACCAAAACTACTCTACCCAGCAAGGCTCTCAATTAAAATGGAAGGTGAAATAAAGAATTTCCTGGACAAAAGAAGGGTCAAAGAATACACCTCCACCAAACCAGCACTTCAAGATATGCTAAGGGATCTGCTTTAAGAAGATGAAGAAAAAGAGTGAGAGAGAGAGATGCACAGGTTTAAGGTGGGTAAAATGGCAATGAATAAATACCTATGAATAATACCCTTAAATGTAAATGGATTAAATGTTCCAATCAAAAGACATAGGGTAGCTGAATGGATAAGAAAACATGACTCACACACATTATGCCTACAAAAGACACACCTCACAACAAAAGACCTACACAGACTGAAAGGAAAAGATTGAAAAAAATATTCCAAGCAAATGGACAGGAAAACAAAGCCAGCCAGGTAGCAATACTTATATCAGTCAAAATAGACTTCAAAACAAAGGCCATAAAAAGGGACATAGAAGGACATTTCATAATACTTAAGGGAAGAATCCATTAAGAAGACATACATTTATAAACAGATATGCACAACATAGGAGCACATAAATATATAAGAAAAATCTTGGAGGACTTCAAAAAAGATATAGACAATAACACAATTATAGTAGGGGGCTTTAATATCCACTGTCAACAATGGATAGATCTTCCAAACAAAATATCAATAAGGATATTGTGGAACTGAATGATGCATTAGATCAAATGTATTTAAATGATATATATAGAATATTTCATCCCAAGGAAGCAAAATACATACTCTTTTCAAATGCACATGGAACATTTTCAAAGATAGACCACATGATAAGACACATAACAAGCCTCAAAAAATTCAAAAGAATTGAAATCATATCAAGCATTTTCTTGGAATACAAGGCCCTGAAACTAGAAACCAACCTCAAAGAAAAAACTCAAAAACATTCAAACTCATAGAGGCTAAACAGTATGCTATTAAACAATGAATGGGTTAATAATGAGGTCAAGGAAGAAATCAAAAAGTTTCTGGAAACAAATGAAAATGAACACAGGACTCTCAAATCTATGGGGGCACAACAAAGGCAGTCCTGAGAGGGAAGTTC